AAATTTTTGTTTTCGGTACTTGTTGTTACCCTTGCAGTTATGATCATGAATTCCTGTATCGGTGTGATGACCCATTGGCATGATAAAGTGCGCTTAAATATCAGCACATTGTTACCACCATTGTAACTCGAGAGATGGAAATAAGAACTTTACTTTTTCCCATTCGGTCAGTTTAGGGTACCTGGTTTTTTCTATCAAACATATCTTCGTTCGTGACACTTGAATTTCGCTTTTATATCATGCGACAGGTCGTAATTGTATTTTTAACACGACGCAGAACTACTGTCTGTAAACTCAGAACAACCATACGATTTGCTCAACAAATGTAAACGAGTACTTTGTAATCTGTCAAGGAGCTAATCTCCAGTTAGAACAGTCTCCTGCAAGGAGAACAAGCTTTATGATACAGTTTTACAGCTTTAAAACATTCATGGAATGTTCACATGTATGGTTTGACACTTTGACTCTGAATAATATAGACTTTAACTCTATTTTGCATCTTGCCAAAGGTGTTTTTGCTCAGAAATACAATCCTTCCTCGTAATAAGAACAGGTCTCCAATTTCTTTAGGGTCAATGTGTTAAACAAGGTAAAACAAACGATCTGAGTTATATGCTTAGGTAGAATGATAATGTACCCAGTTTTACAGCAACTTTGAGTGGCTAGATGAGTCCTTCCTTGTAAAGGTTACACAATTTTTATGACTGTTGATCTTGTGGTGGTACATTTATGGTGTTCATTGAATCGACTTCAATGAACTTATAGATAGTAAAAGTATTTACAGACTTATTCATTCTATGTGAAGTTTGTTGTGTCTGTCGAAGACATATTAGGCAACAGGCAAGAGAATGGGCCTGAGAAGAAGCGTTGTCGAGTCATTCGATAATCAAATGATAAAATTTGTTGCCAAGTCAACGACAATTAATATGTATAATTAATGAGAAAAATTGTAATCGTCCAGATGGACGATGATGATTTCTCCATTAAAAGTTAAACGATCTTCGCTGTTACTAACTTTCGTCCTTTCA